AGCCAAATTATCGATGATACGGATTAAATGATGGATCGTCGAATTTATTTATCACGAACAACAAATATCAAAGTCATGTCGATCGCTATATCATGTCCGGCCGGTTATCATCGTTGATGACGGTTGATCATCATCAATCACAGGTTAGTTATCCAACAAAAATAATAATAATAATATTAAAGACACCGAATGATTTACCCTGAAAGTTGCATGGACTTCTGTCAACATAGCGACAGCCTTTATCAGTTCCACGTGAATCGGTTTCGATAAGGTCGTTCATCATCATCATCATCATCACACGAAAAGATAAAAACCCATTTATGTCAGATAATCGGCCGTCAACAACAACAACGAATATTGGTGACACGGAAGTCTGGTGATTAAATGATACGAATAACATTATTCAACAAGCTGGTTAAGAAATAAAACCATTCAAACAACAACAGGTAGTGGCACAAAAGCAGCGATTAATATCAGTGCCATCACGTGAATTTCTGAAATGTACGATTGCCTGCGTCACAAGAGCGACGATTACACGATCGAGTTTGTCATCAGCCGTTTCCAATGATGATGATGACAGCAACAACAATATGAATAGCCATTCGGTCAAACATCACGTCGATTGTCAACAAAATCGTTCAAATAGCAATAATATGCATCGGAAGCAAAATTGTCGTTATCAAGAATGCTTTTCGGCTTCATGGCCCGACTAAACAAAGTTAGCTCAATATGCACTTCGTTATTGAACGCCAGTTAAAATCGTTTTTTTCAATTATTTCACTTTGAACTTTTGACATTAATTGTTACGCCACAGACATCAGCAATGATGTTGTTTGTTTGTGGTTTTCTTTCAGCCGATTCAAAATCTTCATTACCTCTGAATAGAATTTGTTGCACATACATGTGTGGGGTGGGCAAGCTTGCATTAAATCAATTTCGGCAAGCCGTTTTTCATTTCATTTCATTCATTAATAAATACGAGCAACAGTTCACTGTATCGATACCGTGCATCAATTCATTTAAAAATTCGATTCAAAATAAAAAATAGGTATAAACGCACGAAATGTCAATACTAATACTAATAATAACTGTGTTTCACTGTTTGTCAGCTCTAAAAACTTTGCGCTCTTCACATTTGCAGAGCCCGGCACTTCCATTAACAGTAGTTTTTAAAGTATTAGGTTCAATATTCGCTTTTGTATGTTTTTGTTTGTTTGTTTGTTGAAAATGGATCTTCTCACAATATTTCCAACATATGCATATTATTGGGACACACAGACACACAAATGCTTGTTTCACAAAGTTTCATTTTCGATTGATTTTTGCTTCATGGAATAAATAAGCAGGGCAAAGCAGCCACGAATGTGCTGAACATAAAATGCATATATTATATACTAAGTCACCGTTTTTTTCTCGTGCCGATTTTCTTATTTTTATTTATTCTATGTTACCATTCGAATTCAATTAAAGGACAACCGATTATCGCATTTTTGTTGAACACTACTCTATATTCGGTACCGAATAAACAGTCAGTGTCATCGATTGAATAAGATGCTTGTTTCGGTGTTGTTTGTGGCGTGAATCATAAATTTCTCGCAAATTCTCCTTTCGATGTTTCCTTTTTCATTCGCTTCTCGGTCATCATCATCATCAACTACGATCATTTATACGCGACTGGGTAATACATCGAGACCAACAAAAATAATATCAATTTCGATCATCGTCATCACGATATCATAGATTTTATTAGTCATCACTATCATGATCAGCAGATCACCACACATGTGGCAGTGGCAATACTAAGTTTTTCGAGATTTCACTTCAATATTTCGTCATGTCGTTGAATTCATATTGTTGGTGCCTGTTTCAGCACATTTGAATACAGGACAGGTTAAATACGAAAATGAAAGAATAGTATCCAGACCGAATGGAATTGAAAAGAAATGGCGGATGGACATTTATTTTCTTCTTCTCTCTCATTCACTCTGTTTGAAGTTTCGAGTTTAGTTCTTGAAGCGCAAAGTCAAATCCTTTTTTAACAATAAAACACTCTCAGTGATTCATAGTAACAGCTTTACCGGGTCTCAACATCGCAAATTAAGCAATGATTATCATCAGTCACATCAAGCATTTTGCCGGTTGCCGATTTTGATTTTTTGGCTTTTTACGAATTACAGCGGCTCAAAATTTATATGTCTACTATTACTTGGCGATATCAACGCAAATGTATGTCATTAATTAAGTCATTGACTTCAAGAAAATGAGTCAAAATAAATATATGAAGATGAATATTTTCTTCATAAACAAACAAATGTTTTTCTTTACTCCATATAAGAAAAGAGAGCGGGGTCATTTTTTCCATTATGATATCGAGATGTAAAATTTTCGCATTTCTTCATTGGCCCCGACGATCATTGCCGCCATTTTCGCCATCATCAATATGTCAATAATAATGATGACCAGTAACCAGCACAACAGAAAAGAATAAAACAAATCAAATAATATAACGGCACGGTTAAATTAATGAAACGATTGTTTCTTTCCAGTATTATGTAACCAACTTTTTTCGCGAATTTCGCCAGCTGCAAGAGCAGCCACAAAGCCGGTTTCAGCTGCCTCGCCTAAACCTCAGGCTCGCAGTCCACCGGCCGAATCACGATGCATCAAATTACATTTGTCATTAGCTCGCAAGATCGAAATTCTGTTTTTCGTTTCACCAGATGTTTCAGCCAATTCAAAACGTTGTTTCGAGAGGTCGCAGTCGCCATCGTCAAATGAGCAAGCTCTCATTACAGCCTACCGATGTTCGAGAACACAGTATCGAATCGAAAAAATCTAGTTCAGCCTGTACGCGCATTTAGTCAGTAAATTGCGAAAAAATGAATTTGGTCATCTTTCACCTCAGTGTTGTGGCGCACGCCAGCGAAATATCATCGTTTTCACTACTTCGATTTCGTTTCACTCATATACATGGTCGCGAATGCTATTTTAATACGGGTTTCTGAAATTCGGTCGTCAATAGCAGAAATTGGTCTGATTAAATGATTCGGTCGTCATCACCGAATTCGAATTTCTTTCGGTAAAAATTGGCTCTTTCTTTCAGTACCAGAATTCGCAATGAAAAGAATAATAATAATAACAAAGCTTAAACAGTATTTGTCACAAGCTTCAGGAATCGACGAACAAAAAATTTCATCGATATACCTTTGAGTTTAAATGATGAATGGATGGGATGGAGGATATTAAGTCAAATGAATGTGATAAAAGAAAAATAAAAACGATTAAATAGACAGCTGTTAAAATGGCCTTCGTTTAAGACACAGATGCAAAAATTTTCTCGGTGTTTTATTAGCGTTCCCAAATTACCTGTAGAATGCCGGTTGTTTTGCCAATCTTTTGTGTTTTTTTCCATCTGATTATTCAAAGCTTGTTGCACAGAAAACAACCAAAAACAAAGTTGCTGGGATCGATGAAACCGAGGGTAGATCGACATACCAACAAAATTACGATAAACGTCTACTTTACGCCCGAGGTTCTACTTATCGATTTCGTCACGTTAGGCTTCAGTCGCACGATGATGAGTAAAATACAGAGCACCACGGGACGATTTATCCAATGACCGCGAAATCGAACATTTTATGTAACAGCCTCGAATTCTAACAATCATCACGATCATCCTCACATACTCCACACAATACGATGAATGAAATCTAAATTTTTCGAGCCAGCGGAAACAAGCATCAATGATGCCAAACTTTGCTACCGAACATACGTGTTCCATGAAAATGAATGAACCAGAAAAATAAAACAGAAAACGCATCGCGCCCAATGATCATTGGCCGTACGTTTAAATATTTCGTTTTGCCACAGCCAGCTTTCGATCAAAGCACATGTACCAGAAAAGATTCAACAATGGATTTCATCTTTGTTCCTATCTATGAATGAACAGGAGAGAAAATGAACACTTTTTATAACACAAATTTCAGACATTTTGAATGTACCTCGATATTTATCCGAGACAATTCCACCATTTATCATTGAACACACATCTAAGCAGTGCATCAAATGACCGTGAAATGAATTTTAAAACAATCCATTCTCGTTTCCATTGCGATCGAATTCAAAGAAATGTTTCGAATATGTTGTCAATGAACGTTGCAACAGTTGCGCGTATGATGCAAATCAATATTCCCCGAAATATTTCAAATATTAAATTCCCTGAATTTCATTCATCAATATCCACTTCATTTTCGACATTTTCTTCGCTCTTTCGATAATCAGCAAATTCACTGAATCAACACAATCAAATTGATTGGAAAACATTCAATTGAACAACGTCAACAATGAAGGTCCATTACGAATTGACTGTATGACGACGATAATAAAGTATTAATCGATACCGAACAACTCGAATTTTGTTGAAATCATACTGGACGACAATATTTTGACACACCCAGTCACTTTCTGTTCAACATTTGTCAACGACAACGATCAATACCTCAAAATGACGTATCGTACGATGTCATGGTCAATAACGATTGAGCCGAAACAAATGAAATGGAGGAAAATCCTGTAGCTCAAAACACGATAGACACGAATGGCAATCAAATCATTGGCGAACAATTATTTATCTCGATGACGATGAATGGAGCCAACATTTCAATGAACAGCCTTATTCAACGCATCAACAATACCACCATCAATAGAGTTTAAATGATCGCAACTGTTTACAGCTATCAATTATTTATCACGAGATGATAAAAGCCAGCATAAACGACAACGTATATGTATCGGAATGAAAGAAAACACCGGAACATAAGCCGCCGCCGGTGGCACTGCCTTTATTTTGCCGCGACCCGGCTCCGGTCGCCAATACCGACACAGTAATGGGCGGTGGTGATACGTTACGATGATTTGACAGCGACATCAAAATGGTGTTGACAACAAGGTGGCTCGATGATCGACAACAGCAACAACAAATCAACATAGTGTCCGACATTTCACACATTACGTTCTTTTCGTCGTATGGTTAACATTGGTGCAGTGTTTGCCTATTCATCATCATGATTTTATCGTTCCATTTAAACAAATGATTGGGTCTATTAAATATCATCAAAACGTTCGTAATGAATATCCTGACGAATTAAGTCATCAATGAAATGCAACATCATCGCTCGAATATGAATACCGAAAATCAAAATCCGTCGAAATGAATGAAGACGAATCAAATGACCTTAATAACAATGAAATATCATGCAAGCAGAACTTCATTGGCCCATGTACTGAACAGCCTGAATGATTAAATTCATCCATCTCCAACATACCATCAAATGACGATGAACAAGATGATGAACAGGTACCTAATAGAAGCCTCTTAAGAAAATGGTCGTCAATTTTTCCTCATTCTGATGGTTGAAAACGCTCGCCATAAAAAATCTAATAACCGTGAATAGTTCTCGAATGCGTCGTTGTTTGAATGATAAATATCAAATTCATCGTTACTAATTACCATCATCAAAAACGACTATCAACAACAGCCATGAATACGATGTCATCACATTTTCAACATCTGTTGATCATCATCACCGTTTACAGTTACATTGGGGTCGGTATTGTTACTGCCGATGATGCCCAATCATTATTATTATTATCTTCATTGCTATTATTTATCAATGAATTTGTTGAATTATAATCAAATTTATTCACTGTAGTTGATGATGATGATGATGATGGAACATAAACGAATAAGGCTGCCTGTTGTTGTTGGTTACCATTCATGGATAAAATATTCATTGATAATTTTTGTTGTTGTTGTGGCTGTTGTAATTTTGTCGACATTGTTTGCAAAAATGAAGATGAATTCTGAATATGATCCTGATATGTTGTTGTTGATGATGATGATGTTAGTAGTGGTGGTTGTGGTTGATGATATTGTTTGGATACAATTGTTGCCATATCATTATTATTATCACATCTATTGTTTGAAATAGAATTGTTCAATGTAGCTATTGTTGTTGCCATTGTTGAAAAAGGTAATGATTCTTGATTCTGTTGTTGTTGTGTAAGGAAAAATCTGTCTGAATCTTGAATTTTGTTGTGAAGATCAGAATATTGAGGATGCTGATTATTATTATCATCCATAAGATGTACATTCTGTTGTTGCAATGTAGCAAAATGATGATTAGTTATTTGTCGGTTATTCAAATGATGATTATTATTGTGATTATCATAATATTCAAGACAAATATCATGACAATGATCTTGAATATGTGCAACTGGAATTGAAACATTCATATTATTATTAGCATTAAAATTAGCATTATCATTACTATTATTATGGCCAAGATGATGATGATCTACATTTGGTTCATAACGATGATGATGATGGCTATTATTATTGTTACTTAAATTAAACGACTGCTGCTGTTGTTGTGGATCACAATTATTATTATTTTTTTGTAATTCCATTTCATATTGAAGAATTGTTCCTGTGTTTTTTGTTATTGGGTGGTGTGTAGAATTAGTTGCAGATGATGTGACCATACTAACAATTGGATTCAATGATAATGATGTAGTGGATGATTCATTTCCGGATAGTTGTGTGGATGGAATAAAATCCGTAGTCATATGTTCGGTAACTAAATTAACATATTCATTTGATGATATTGGTAGTTCCTGTTCAATACTATTTTCATCAAGATGTATAGAATTTATTCTTGATAATATCGAAGTAGGAGTGGTTGTTTTAGATTTTGCAACATCATCAGCAGCAACAACAGTACCATTTGAAGACATAGCTGTAGCTACATAAAAACCAATTGATGATGATGTAGATGTTGAAAATGAATTCATATGATGGTAATCATTATTCATAGCTGTTGTTGTCGTCGTTTTTGATGATGATGATGCAGCTGAGGTAGTAACATTAGATTTGGCTATATTTACATCATTCCAAACAACGGCCACATGTGAATTACATTTCGGAATATTCTTTTTAGTTGTAGATTTTTTATGGCAGGCGTTTTCGAAAAATCAACCGAAATTAAGAATGGGAAAAAATTATTTGTATTTTCTTAAGAAACTTCTATTAGATTACCTGTTCATCATCTTGTTCATCATCATTTGATAGATGTTTAAGGATGGATGGATCGGAATTTGAATCCGATTCGAATTGATTCAATTTTATGATTGTAAAGTTCTGCCCACATTGATGTTCATTGATTATTAGGTCATTTGATTCCTCGTCTTCATTCGTATTTTCGATGGATTTTGATTTCAATTTTTTATTCCATAATTCAGGCGATGATGATTGTTTTGCATTTTCATTTGATGACAATTCGTCAGGATGATCATTTTTTTTAGACGACGACGATGATGATGATGATGTCGTTGTCGACTGACGTTTTCGTATGGAACGACAAAATCGTAATGATGAATAAACAAGAACGAGTATCAATACTACACCAATGGTTAACCATGCAACAGAAAACAATAATAATAATAATGGACGAAATAATGGACCACTATGTTGTTGTTGTGGTGGTTGTTGTTGCTGTTGTAGTCCATCAATTTTATGATTATCAACACCATTTTGATTATCACTGTCATCATCATCATCATTATCACCACCACCATTACTATTATCAATGGCAAATGATTTTGGAGCTTAAAACAAGTAGGGAAAAAAATTCAGTAGATTAGTTATAATAAAATAAAAACGAAATTCTTACCAACAACAACAAATGTTCCGGATGATTTTTCTCCATTTTCCACATTATATGGTTGTTGTCCGACATGACGACTTTTATCATCGTAATCATCATTGATAGTATAAACGGATTTAGAATTTGTTGCAGTCGATTTAAATGATTGTAATCTATTGTCATTAATTATTGTTGATGCGTTGAATAGAATTTCTTCATTAGAAATGATTATCCATTCATCGTCATCAGAATCATCATTGTGTTCATAATAATGATTTGATTCACCATTCATTGATCTATCGAGCATTTGTTGCTGTCGATGTTTTGAATACAAAGTTTTTTCCTCCATTTTCATTTGTTTCAATAATCGATTCTTATTGACCATGGCAATCATTTTGATACGATATTTTCCCAGGTGATTAGTCGTTGTCGTTGTTGTTGAATTTGGTTCATCCAATAATTGAACCGAAAAGTGGCCAATAATTTTCTGATTATCATCATAGTCGTCATCATGATGGTCATTATCAAAATATTGTCGATCAATATGAACAACAAATTCAGATGATTGTAATGGTTGTTCAATTAATCGATTAATACTTTTATTATTATCATCATCATACAATTCAATTCGATAAGTAATGGACGAATCTTTCGATTGTTGTTGTTGTTCAATTGAATGTTTACCAATCAATTTGGTTATTGTTGATTCAACAATTGAATTTGCTGATTATTATCAAAAGGAAAACGGGCACCGGAAGAAGAAAAATATCAAAAATAAAATTGGAATATATTATTGATGAATGAAATTCAAGAATTTGTAACAAAATATTTCAGAATATTGGTTTGCATCATACATAATAATGGTAATTTGCAACATTCGACAGCCATATAATTCAAAAAAACATTTCTTTCTCACTTTTAGATTCAATCACAATGGAAACAGAATGGATTCTATGATTTTAAAATTCATTTCACATTCATTTTGTTTGTCCCCACTGCTTAGATGTGTGTTCAATGTCATCGTCGTTATTGTCTGGATCCTCATATCGAATTTCATTCAAAAAAAAATATCTTAAATTTGTATTATAAAAAAGTGTTCATTTTTTTTCTCTCCATTCAAACAAATGTTCAATTCATATCGTCGGAATGAGAACAAAAAGATAAAGTTCCTGAATCCATTATTTGAATCTTTTCTGAATTTTTGTCATAAAAAACTGATCAAAACAACAATGAAAAGCAACAACAAAAACAAAAAATATTTAAACGTACAGCCAGTAGTCATTGTTTTGATCGTTTTTCTGTTTTATTTTTCTGGTTCATTTCATTTTCATGGAACCATTTTATGATAATTGTAAAGTTTAACATCATTGAACATGTTTCCACTGAAGAATATTCTGAAGAATTTGCGAATTTCGATCGTCATCTGTGTGTGGTGGGTATATGGGATGATCAATGATGATTGTAAGACTTCGAATGTTATAAAATGTTCAATTTCACTTGAATTCATTGGATCATCAAGGTCCATGGTTATGCAATATTTTTACTCATCATCGACACGACTGGAAACACGAAATAACGTGAGGAAGAAAAAATAAATCGAATAAAGTCAGACCCTCGAGGCATAAAATAAGACGTTTATCCGTAATTTTTGTTGTTATGTCCAGTCTATTTTCCAGTTTCGAATAATGATCCCAACAACTGTTTTTGGTTAATTTTTTCTACAAATACCGCAACAAAACTGGATAAATGGATGGAAAAAACCCCCCCAAAAAAAGATTGAAAAGCCATAAAGAATAACCAGCATTCTACAGAATATAATTTAACGAACACTAAATAAAAAAAACTTTTTACCGAGAAAAATTTTACATCTACCATGTGAAGAATTTTTCCGGAACATTTTCAATCTTAAACAAAGAAATACGACAATACTGTATGGACAAATTATTGTTCCAATTGATACAACCCGTTGTTCGATGCTCGATGGATGTTTAGTGCTTGTGTCTAATTTGTATCGATTTTTATTTTTATTTTTTCTTTTATCCACATTCGACAACCATATCCATCCATCCATCCATTCATCCATTTAAATAAAGAGTATATGATGAAAATTTTTTTTGTTCGAGTCGGGTTCAGCAGAAGCAGCAGTATGCAGCTGTTTAAACTTTTGTTATTATTATTATTCTTTTCATTTACGAATTCTGAACAAGAGAGAAAAATTGAATTTTACCAAAAAAAAAAAAAAAAAAATTCAATTCAATTGTCAATGACGATGAATCGAACAAATCAAATTGAAATTTTTTTCTACTTTTGTTGTTGTTGTTATTGTTATTGTTATTCCAATTTCAAATCGAAATGTATGTATTCACGATATATATATAAAGTGAAAACGAAATCAAATGAAATGAAAACGATGAATATTTTTTTTCCTTCTTTTTTTTATTCACACCCACAAACACAAAGTGAGAAAAAAATTGATAAATTCATTTTTTTCACTTGAACCTTGTTGACGATTCGATGCGCGTACGAATTGAATTCGATTTTTTTTTCAGTTGTCTACTGCTGTGTTCTGAAAATTTATCCAGAATTAAAGGTATATGAATGAAACTTTATCATTTTATTGTCTTATTTCGAATACGATCATATGGCTTCGACAATCAAAAAAAAAAATCAAAACAAAACGTTTTGGATTAACGAGAAAAACATCAGAAAATGGAAATTGAAACGAAAAAAAACAAGAATTTTTCAATCTACGAATAATGACCATCATGGAGAATAGCCTAATCTTTGTCATTTGATTACATAATACTAGAGCGAAAGAAGAAGAAACCAATTGACCATTGAATTTAGCCAACGACCATTGAATTTATTTTTTGCCGTTTATTAATTATTTGATTTGATTTTATTCTTTTTCTGTTGTGCTGGACACGCAATTCATCATTATTATTGACATAATGATGATGATGATGGCACGAAAATAAGCAACAATGATCAATCAGAATTGTAAAGAGAAAAAAAAATCACAAAAAAATTTTATCTCGGTCATCGTATGGAAAAAAATTACATTACATCTCTTTTCTTATATAGATATAAAGAAAAAACATTTGATTTGATTTATGGAAAATCTTCATCTTCATATATTTATTTATTTAGTGTGTGTGTTTTTTTTGTTTTGATCATTTCTTCTTAAGTCAATGACAATTAATGATTGTTTTGGCGTTGATAATGCATAAATAGTAGTAGATTTATATGAAAATTTTAGGCCACTTGTGCAATTCGTAAAAAAAAATAAAAAAAAATATAAAATCATTGTAGCGAAAATCTCTTGATGATGATCATGGTGACGATGTTGCCTTGGATGCCTTGGTGTTGTTGGGTTGGTGAAAAACAAACACTATGAATCACTGAGAATGTGAACTGTGACAAAAAAAAAGTTTGACTTTTTTTGCGCTTCAAAAAATTCATCAAAACGAACTAGATATATAGAGTGAATGAGAAAGAGAAAGAGAAAAATAAATATCCGGCTAATGTATCCACCATTTTTTTTCTTTTCAATTCCATTCAGTTCTTTTTTCATTCGGATTTTGTTCTTTCAATTTTTTTTTATGTGTGTGGCCTATCTATTTATTCGTGATGCTTTGGAACTGAAACCAATGAAAATAGAAAAAAAATAAGATTCAATGACATGACAGAATATTGAAGAAGTGAAAAAAAATCTTGAATCTCAGAAAAAAAAACCCAAGAATTGTTACCACCATCACCACATAAATGTGGTGAATGTATGATTATGATCATGATGATGATGATAATAAAATCTATGATAAATCAATGATGATGATGATGAATTCAAATCAAAATGAAAAGTGTGTGTATTTTTTTTGTTGGTCTCATTCTTATTTTTTTGGTCGCATTGTAAAATGTCAATGGATGATGATGATGATGATGATGAACAACCGAGAGAAAAAGCGAATGAAAGAAAAGAAAAAAGGAAAACATCAAAGAAAAGGAGAATTTACTCGAGAATTTATGATTCACATACAAACAACACAAACAAACATCTTATTCAAGTCAATATTTTGTTTTGTTTTGTTATGGAAAAAAAACCCGAATAATAGAGTAGATATGTTCAACCAAAAAAAAATGCGAATAGCTTCTTATCTTCAATCATCGGTTGTCAACAATTGAATTCAGAATGGTAACATAGAATAAATAAATAAGAAAATCGAATCCACAGGAAAAAAAACCAATGACGAATATATAAAATGTATTTTACATGTTCAACACATTCATTCATAATGGCTGCTGCCCATTATATTTCACTATTTGTTCCATAAACAAAAAAAAATCCAATCCAAAAAAAAATAGAAAACTTTGAAAAATGAAACAAGAACATTTGTGTGTCTGTGTGTGTCCAAATAATGCATATATTGGATATTGTGAAAAGGAAAGATCAATTTTTCAACAAACAAACAAACAAAAAAACATACGAAATGAATATTGAGATATGCACACTTAAAAAAAAATTCTTTGTTATCGTAATGGAACCGCCGAATGAACCATGATCACAAATAAAGTAGAAGGAATATAAAGTTTTTAGAATTTGTGCATTCAATCAAACAGTTATTATTAGCTATTAGTATTATTAATTCGTACGTTTATATAATTTGTTATTTTGAATCAGATTTTTCATCAGATTGATTCACGATTGTATCGATTAACAATTGGGCTGTTTATGTCAATATTTACAATTAATGAAATGAAATGAAATGGAAAAAAATATTGCCGAAAATTGATTGATTCACAATACAAACACCCACCCACACACACATTGTAATGGCAATAAATTCAATTCAAATTTAATGGAAGATTTTTGAATCGAAACAGAGAAACCACAAACAAACAACATCATTGCGCGTGTGTGTATGTATGTAATTAGTGTCAAAAAGTTCCAAAATTGGAAATAATTGAAAAAAAACTTGATTTTGTAAACGTTCCAATAACGGGAAATTAAATATTGAAATTCTTTGTTTAGTCAGATTAAAAGTGATAGAAATTCGAAAGAAAAAAACACCACATACCTAGAATATGACATTCAATTCTGATAACGATAATTTTGCTTTTTTCCGATGCATAATTATTACTATTTGAACGAATTTTTGTTGATAATTGACAATGATGATTTGATGAATAATATTCATATTGTTGTTGCTGATTTTCAATCAATTCACGAAATCGATCATCATCATCATTGGAAAACAATGATGATGAAATCGATCTATTCGTATCATTATTATCTTGTGATACAAATAATCGTATTTCAAATTCACATGGTCTTGTAGGTGGCACTATTGGTAGTAAATTACTTTTTGTACCACTACTACTACTGTTGTTGTTTGAATGGTTTTTATTTCTTAACCAACATTGAATGTGGCCAACATTATCGATGATATTCGTATCATTTTTAATCACCAAGACTGCATTATTCACCAATATTATTCGTTGTTGTTGTTGTTGTTGATTATCACTATTTATAAATAGATTTTTTTTATCACTTTTTTTCGATAATGATGATGATGAACGATATATCAAGTGATTCACATTAGATTTGATAAAATATTCACTATGTTGACCATTTAAAGTCCATACAATTTCAAATTCATCATTCAATTGATCTTTAATATTATTATTATTATTTTTGTTGGATAATAATAATGATTGATGATGATCAATGATCATCAATGATGATATATCAATTGGACATGATAGATTTACTGCTTGACCTCGATGAACATGACGAATAATTTGATTGTTCATTGTCATCATTGTTGATCCATCATTTGAATCCATTATCATCGATGAACAATGTGGTGCATCTGTATGTTAAATGTAATTTATTTTTAAGAAAAAATTTTAAACAATTTATTTAAAAAATGTAAAAAAAAATTTCTTAAAGAATTTTATCGATTTTTTTTCGCACTACATTCATTTGTTTAACCAACAGCAAAAAAATTATTATGAAGAGAATAATCGTTTTCAAGTGGAATATTCTTCTTTTCTTTGTTATTAGTCACAAAAAAAACTTGAAAAAAATTCATCGATTTCAAAATGTAAATGCTGTGTGTGTGTGTGTGGTTGCAGTTTTCGATAGTATTTGAATGTCAAATGTTTTTTTTTCATTTTTTTTTTTTTTTTTTGTTCAAGAATTGTTAGGTTTGTAAGTTACTTCTCTAAACGACTACTATTTCATAGTATAAGACAAATGATGAATAATAAATTAACTTCTTATCGTTGAATTCTCTCTCTCCTTTTTTTCATTTTTATTTCAATTCTTATTAAAATTGGCAAAATTTTATTCATTTTATTTCCTACACATAGTCCCACCAAATGAAATTTGTAAGTACCAAACAAAAAAAAAGAAACCAAGGATTGAGATAGTGAGCAAAGGAGCAAGAGAGAGAGAGAGAAAAAAAATAGCTTTAAATGAATGACCCATTTTAAATGAGCCAACTAGAATGGGGATGAATTTTTCAATTTTTTGTTTTGTTTTTCTTTTAAATTTTAGAATTTTTTTTCTTTTCTTTTTTTCTTTGAATAAAAAAGTAGTTAATGTTTCATTTTAATTTTGGTCTATTTTTTTCAAAAAAAAAAAAATATTTTACGCCCAGATGATGATGATGATGATGTTGACCAATACTAAAATGGGAATAGTAATTTTTGCGAATGAATGTTGTCCAGATAGAAAAAAAAACTTTGTCATTGTTTCAATGAAAACAAAAATGATAATTTATTTTGAAAATTATTCTCTACAAAAGGGAAAAATGACAAAGTCAATTATTGTTGATATATATTTTTAACAATATCCATAATCAATCAACCAAGTCACGTTCAATTTGTTGAACTGAAATTTTCATTTTCTCACCGTGTTTTGTTGGTTTCTGGTGTTTTTTTCTAAATTTTTTTTCGTTTGTCATAATTATCATGATCATTTTCATAACATTTTACATGTTTATATGATGCATGCAAAATGAAAGTATTACATAAACATGGAGAGAATAAATAAAAAAAAAATTCATCACTCATCAAAGCTCGATTTAGAATTTTGAAAATCTTTTTTTTTTCCTTTTCACATTTTTCTACTTTTGCAATGATGATCGATGTTATCATCATCATCATCATCATCATCAGATTCGTTAAAAACATACTCACACACAGAAGACGGTGAAAGAAAACGAATTGTAATTTAAGTTTTCGGTTAGAAAAATTTTCATTCGTTCAAGTTGAAATAAAGTTTTTAAATTTCATCATCCTTGATGATGATGATGATGGGTTCTATATAATAATTTAGTCATTTGTTTGCCAGTTTTATTTTGGTTCATTCCTTACTTACTATAACATTTACTTGATGAATTCATTAATATATGAATACTTACAATCAACAAAAATCTTAATCTCATTACTTAGGCCACGTCCTTCAGAATTGAATACAATACAACGATAAAGGCCAGAATGAATTTGAGCTTGTGCATTGATTATACGTAATCGATTACGTTCAATTTCAATTCCTGTGGTTCATCATTGTATATGGATGAGTGAAAGATTGATTGAAAACAAAAAAGAAAAACCAAGATTTTTTTATTTGTGATTTATGAATTTTTTATCAAATAAAATCCTTTATTTTTGATTGATGATTGTACTAACCAGATTTTTCTTGCCATATTTCATCATGATTATGTGACCAACGTATTACTGTAGCGTTTGGTTTTGCTCGAAACAGACAATCCATTGTTATATTTTGACCTTCCATTGTGTGTAGCTGATTGATCTGTCTATGATTTGTCGATGAATGACTTGATATTTGTTGATCGGCAATAATAATTTGGCTAATAATTTCATCATACAATTGATAATTATGTGATTCATCATTGTTTAATGATCGTTGCTGTTGTTGTTGTTGTTCAATTCGAGCCATTAATTTTAGTTTTGGTGTATCTATATTCACAAAATAGTGGCGGAAAAGAAAAAAACAAAAGAAATTTTGAATTTTTCGATCAATCAATGTGAATGAACTGGGTGATTTTGTAAATTCTTTCAAAAAAAAAGTTCAAATCAAATTCTGTGTTTGATTAGAAACAACAATCAAAGTTATAATTATATCCTAGACATTTTATTTCGACATCGTAATTTATGTGTGTGTGTGTGCGTGTGTGCGCGAGCGCGTGTATGACGTGTACATGTAAATGTTTCTAACTGAATGTAAACAAAAAAAAATTAAAGAATAATTTACCTGTCAATTATTCCTATTCATGAATTTTTTTTTTCAAAATAAAAATCTTAAACAAAAAGTTTTACAATGGAAATGAAAAAAAAATTTATTATTGTTGTTATTATTTCGAATAACAAACAACAAACATTCATCAGAACGTAATGGACAGCGAAAAAAAAATAGAATAACAATGATAGATATCTATTACAATGGAATGGTTTTTTTTTCTAACCAAAAAGTATCAAAAAGTTTCAGTTCACTGATTTCATATTGTTATTGCAATATATTTTGTGCAGAAAAAAAAACCAAAAGCAAGAAAGAAACAAATAAAAAAAAACTATGCAATTAGCCAAATAATGGCACACATATCCACGTACATCATGTATAGTTACAACAAAAAAAATGATGATGATGATGATGATGATGTTGAAATTAAATGAATAAACTTTTGAATTTTTTTTTTTTTTTTTTTGGTTCGTGGCAAATGATGTTTTCATTTTTTGCCAAAATCGTTTATTTTTAATTTTTCTTTTGTTGTTTGTTTGTTTATTCTGTTATTATATATAATTACTATATCATTAAAGATGTTATAATTACGAAAAATATTCATCATCATCATCATCAAAATAAACTCTAGCTGAAAAACAAAAATAAAATCGTTTATTCTGCATCTAATGTGGATGTTATTATTTAGGGAAAAAAATAAAGCATGAATAAACAGTGGTTTGGTTTGTTGATGTTGTTTTTTTTTCAAAATAATTAAAAAAATTCAAATTCTTCTTTTCATCATATATATATATATAAAAAAAATGAAATCAACTTACATTTAATATCCAATATGATTGAATCCCATGATAGTGGCCTATTATCATCATCATCATCATCATCATTTTGGCCATCATTTCGTTTTGATGTTTCCAATTCGGTTACATTATAATAATCAATCAATGATTGTAAATGATCATTATCTGTAATGATTATCGGATTATATGATAAACATGTTAGCCGTTTTTGATCCTGTGTCCATTGTGGTTTGAAACGTAATACACTTTCAGTGTAATTCATTTCAAAATCATAATCACTATTAAAGAATAATAATAATTTGATGGCAAAGAAAAAAAGAAAATGAAAAAAAATTCGATAATCAATTAAATTATTCTTTTGATATATAAATCTCGATCATTCATCTAATATGATGGTTGCTTTCAAAAAAAAGTAATCCAATCAATTATAAAACAAAACAAAAAAAAATTGAAAAACTCATACCCGTCCACCCACCCACGCACAAACACACACACACACACACAACCATTTCCCAAGACAATCAACAATAACAACAACAATTTTTTTTTCATTGATTGAATACATTTCAGGCATTGTTAGCCAGGCGAAAAAAAAAATAAAAACAAAACGATAGCCTTTTTTTCCTCTGCAGCTCTTATCTCATCTCATCTCATTGAAACAATTACAATTCGTTCAATTCGATAAAAAACATAAAGAATGAAAGTGAGTGAGTGAGTGAATTAGACAACTGCTAGAAAAATTGCTTAGAGTAGTAGAATTTTTTTTTTTTAGTCACTCGGTAAGCAATTTTATGATATGATAGATAATGAGAGCAAAGAATAAAGAAGGAAATCAAATTATAAAACACACACACAGAGATACACAATTAACAATCCACCCACCCACAAACAGTCAATAAATTGTGAACCACACACACCCACACACACACATTTTTTTAGGTGAATGTTATTGTCAAGTTCATCATTGTTTTCAATGATTTTGTCAAACTAAAATAGCAGAAAAAAAACAACAAAAATATAAATCTAGAAATTTTGACTTTGACATTTGATAACTAAACAAAAAGTAAAACATTTTTGACATAGACAATGAATGGATACTATTTTTAGCTTCATGATTCAATCTGGTTTCTTTTTTTTCTGATTATTTATTTATTTATTTTTTTTTTTTTTTTTTTGGTTTCATTATACACACACACACACACAAACATACACATGAAAAGAGGTAAACCGCCGCTATCACGATAATCATAGATAGTCAACAAAAAAAGAAAGAAAAATATTTTAAAAGTTTTTCAAAATGAAAAAAAACAACTAGCTAATTTTTTATCATTTTATTTTTATTTTAGATTTTTTTTTTTTTTTTTGTTATTCCAAATAAAAAGCAACAAAAATTTTGAACAAAACAAAAACGAAAACAATGACTGGAAAAAAAAGAAAATGAAATAATAAATCGTATTCAATTTATTATTTATGAAATTGAAAATGTTCGCACAGTGTGCACCACATTCGATGGGAAACTAAAAAAAAATGAGAAAAAAAACCAAACGTAAACATGAAAAACTAGAAAAAAAAACAAAATGAATGAGCAACACACACACACACACACACACCGATGAGGATAAAATGGATAAATTTTAATGCAAACAACAACAAAAAAACATAAAAAACAAGGCTCCAGGGTCCAGAATAAAAAAAGATGATGATGGTTGATGACGACAAGTTAAATGGTCAGGAAAAAAAACAACAATAACAACAATAACAAATATTGGTACATATATACACACTCACAATTTTTTTTTTCCTTTTTTTGTTTTCCCACAATTGTGGTAAATGGTTCTTGGTTTATGTTTTAGCTCATTTTTTTTCTATTTGTTTGAACAATTTATTCAAAACATTGTATGAATGGTAGATTTATTCTCTTTTAGCTTATTATGGTTTTGGGCTGGGTATACTAAGTCATTTTTTTCTTTCTATTTCTTTGCTTGTATTGAAGATGATATTAAAACGATTGAAAATCGAACCAATTTTGAAGTGTATATGTGTGTGTGTGTATGTGTGATGCAAATACATTTAACGATATATTGTCAACGATAAAAATAATGATGATGATTATTATTATTAGGATTCATTTATAGATTATGTAAGTCGATTTCCTAAAAATTTTTTTTTGTTCATTCTCTTTTAAACTTTCTATATGTTCATCATCATCATCATCATCATCATCATAGAAATAGATAGGAAAATAAATGAATAGTGTTGACTACTATTGATTTTCAACTTACATTGATACATGACCACATGTTTCCGTTAATCATTTCCGTTAGAATAAAAATATTTTATTTAGGTGTGCAACATTAGGTTAGGTTGCACTTTATCGAATGAATAGATCAATTTTTGATCATCATTCAAACACCATATATATACAACACCGATACAGATAATAATAATAATATATATATAATAATGGAAGGCAAATGAATTTCAGTAGTGAAGCCAACATTTTACAAATGAAACAAACAACAAAAAAAAGAAAAATCATATTTTTCCTAAAGAAAATAATGGAAATCATTATTTACATTCTTATTTTGTTTTGCTTTGTTTTTGTTTTTCTGTGGGAAAAAATGACAGAAACAGAAATTTTTTTTTAAATGTTTAAATGGGTACAAATTTTGTTTTCTTATTTAGTCCAGAATTCATGGACAATGTCATTAATCAATACATTGCAAAGAAAAAAATTGATTTTTTTTCTCTCAATACTAAATAATGGCAATCGATTTGATTAAAATTGAAAAACAATTTCAATATTGATTGATGATCGGGAAAAAAAATTTAATTGAAATTTGAACTTTAAGGTTCTCTGTGAAATGTTTAATGAAAAAAAACTGAATTTAAAATTACCAAAACTATTATTATTCGCTATTTATATTTCCGTCGAAAAAAAAATCTAAAATTTGTTCAATTTTAAACCTGGAAAAACGAAACAAATCACATTTTCACTATTCATTTTCATGATGTTTTTTTTTGGTTTCTGCATTGATTTCCTGTGTATAATATTTGTGTAATGTAATAATTTGCCAAACATTTTATCGATTCCGAATACTTTATTGTTCCATTATCGCATTTTTTTTGTTCAATCAACATTGTCGTTGATGTTTGGTTGGTTTATTGTGATATATATTCATTTTTCCTTCAATCATACATTGATAAAGATTCTACGAGAAAAAATGGTGATGTGGTGATACGGGCAAACTAAAAAAAAAACGATTTGAATTTTATTGGCATCACCGAAACAACAACAACAACAATAGTTATGAGCTCTGTGTGTTGTTCACTTGCAATTATGATTGTTTTTTTTTGTTTTGTTTTCGTTTCTCATTTTGTTTTTTTCATTTTGTTCATAAAGATGATTGTTTTCATATATATTTTAGACGAAAATAGAACAACAACACCCAAAAGCACACATTCTCACATATGAATTGCATATTTGATGCAAATGGGAATGCAAAACAAAATAAAAATCAATTTTCACATTGTTTTTTTTGGATATCATTTTCAATTTCAATATTCCAACATTTCGTAGAATATAGTAGTGGGATTGGGTATATACCATATAGCTAGTACCAGCCATCTTAGCCATCATCATCATCATCATCATCATCATTATTTGATCATTGAACCACATTATTATCGTTATTGCCGGTCAAATTAAAATCGTTGGATATGGTGATCTTGATTGTCAATTGCATACTGGTTCTGTATGGCACGATGTTTTAATTCGAAACGTGGCTTTGGCAAATCAAAATTTCAATTTAATATCTATTGGCCAATTGGAACGTAGTAATGAAAATTTATTGGTAACATTCAGCAGTGGTAAAATTTCGATCATTAAATCTGGAAAATGTTTTCTTACCGGTTATCGATCATCAGAATTAAATAATTTGTATTATTTACCAATTCGTGTCAAGTCATCGAATAGTACTTCATCTACGAATGTATCATTGTTGTCATCATCATCTGTTGATTTAGCATTATTGCATGAACGTTTTTGTCATGTAAACAAAAATACAATTATCAGAATGGCTAAATCGAAAATTGTGGATGGTTTATCAACCATTTGTTCTGATAATGTTGGTTTCTGTAATGCGTGTAGTGATGGAAAAATTACTGATGTTCCACATCGTTCAACTGAAAAATTGTCGTATGCTAAATCTGGTGAATCAATTCATATTGACATTGCTGGTTATACAGATCGTTCAATTCATGGCAACAAATATTATTTGATCTGTGTAGATGAGAAAACATCATACGTTAAAGTGGAATTTCTGAAAAATCGTGGTGATTTCTTCAACAAATTTATTAAAATTGTCAATCAGATTAAACTTGAAACTGGTAATAATGTATTGTGTATTCGTAGTGATCGTGGCACCGAATTTTCATCGAATAAATTTCGTGATTTTGTTGAATCCAATGGTATCACTCATCAATTTGCATGTGTTGGTGTATCTCAACAAAATGGTTTAGCCGAACGTCATGTACGAAACATCAATGAACATGCAACATCGATCTTGGTTTCAAGTGGTTTGCCAAAATTTTTGTGGGATGAAGCAGTGAATTGTACTGTGTATGTACTTAATCGTACAATGAATTATAAAAATGTAGTCCCATATAATGAATGGTTCAACAAAAGGCTGAAAAAAGGTGATTTCAGTTACCTTGGCATTGAATGATGATAAAGTTGGCAAATTTGAATCAAAAGCCACTGATGTTTATATGGTTGGTTATCAAGGTGACCATATTTATCGATGCTATCTACCGAATAAACGTGAAGTCCATCTGATATCTGCTGTCAAGTTCGATGAAATAGCAAAATGCAGATCTGTAGCATATGAAATTCCGGGTGATAATTTTGTTTCTGAACCATCTACTAGTTTGGTTGCTGAAAGGTTGATGATGATCAAGATGAAGATGCTTCTGGTGATGGTGATGATGATGTACCGAGACAGGAGACCATTGGGGTCTCAAAATAAAACATGAAGTTAATCAAAAGCATAGTTGAATTCTTTACGACCTCGAAATGTAATTGGTGTCGTTGCAGCTGAATTACTGAGCACCACTAACGTTTGATGATGCTGTAGATTCAGAGGAATCTATGAAGTCATATTGATATTAAAATTTCAAATTGAGATTCAAGATTTTTTTTCTTAATACAAAATGCAAACAAATTGCTCAATGTCTAATATAACATCGTCATAATAACAATCAATAATCATGGGAAACA